CACATCATCGCGTTTTCATTGGTGTTATTAATCCAAAAAATCAACATGTCGAAACAGCAGAAGAAGTTCGAGATCAAGTTCTTAAAGCTGCAAAATATATTCCTATTGAACAATTAGGTACAACAGATGATTGTGGCTTTTCTCCATATAATGATGATGAATCTATTACAAGAGAAAAATGTTATGACAAAATTCGAGCTCGAATTCAAGGAACAAAATTAGCTGAAGATATATTAAATGAAATATTATAGAAATGACACGTTAGATTTATAATGCTTCTTAATTGTTGTTGTCAAATATAGTATATCGTAGAAATAAATAAATTATTTAGTTACAAATATATCAATGAAAGTTCAATAGGTTTATGACTAGCAATTGGGGAAATTATTTTTATCCACTCATTTATATGACTGATTTTTTTTCTATTCTATTTTATTCTATTCTTTTAAAATACTACTTACATAAGAGTGAGATAATACTGCGAAATAGAATGTTATTTCTTTTGTTCTTTATGAGTAATATCATATAAGAATCAACAAACCAGATTAATTCATCTTGTTTCTCTATGATAAATTATATACATCAGGATGAACGTGTTTTTATATTCCCTTGAATGTCACTCATACCTAATTATTTTAAATTTAATTATGTTAGCCAACTTTTTTAGTTGTTTTAAATAGTAGATAGTGTATGAATAATCTGATATGTATATATAGAGTGAACACATTTGTTGTAAAAATATGAAAAAACTATTATATGAATTATCAAAGATTGATTGTTTTGATTAAGTTATATTACTTTGTATTTTTCTAGATTTATATTGGTGTATTCTTGTTAAATATTGTATCGATCGCTAGATGATGTTGAATGTATAAATATATATAATCATGTATAGAATTTATTTAGTTATTGATCACCGATTTAAAATGATTAGTTGTTTGATTTTATAAGAACAAAATATAAAGAAATTTTGTCATTAATAATGAAGAAGAACTGAGAATAGTATTTATTCATTCATTGCTTTTCTTTTCTTCAATAATTATAACATCGCGAACGAAAATGTTGAATATTCTGTCTTTTTAATCTTGAAAATATTATTAATTTCTATCGTTTTTGTAAATGAACAACAACATTTTTCATAGTAATCTCAATTATTTCAAGTATTTTTTAAATTGACCA